GATCCAAACTTGGGCTGAAAGTGCTGGAAAGATTGTGACTGTCACAACCTCTGCTTTTACAGAGATGGTCACATTTGCTGATTATCAATCAATCAAGTGCATTTGATTAGAGACACATGACTAGTCCAATGAGGTTGTTTAACATGTAACCCTCTAAATTCCTATTGAAGCATTTAGTGTTACTTTTCACAGGACTTCATATCTTGTGTGAAAACGTTTTTACATGACTGCAGCAACAGGAAGGATTTATGTCAGTAAAAGGAATAACATCAATCCATCTGACAGTGATATTTCAGCCTGGATGGTGGGTGCCTGCAATTTTTTAAATATTTATTTGAATTAATATCTACACATCCTTTTAAAAACCACCACTGTTGAAGGTGAAATCATTCTTTCCCTTAGCGTGCAGACAAAAGAAGGCAAGTAAGTATCGGAGAAATAACTAAGACAAAAGATAGGAAATTCCATATACTGTCAATTGCCTCACGCTCATTCACTGCTTCTATTTGCAGCTTTTAGTTGCAGAGAGTCTGGGAGCAAACTTTGGTTATTTGAATGTGTGTGTATGTGCGTATATAGCAAGGATTTGGAACAAATGTATTACTCCCTGGATATAACTTCCTGTGAAGTGTGAAGAGATAACACCAGACAATATGAATGTACCTCTCATCACCCCCCACCCCCCCACCCCCGGCCCGCACACACACACACACACACACCTACACACACACAGACAAATCACAAATCATCCTTCAAATGCCTCCACACGGGATAATTGAGTTTTCTCTCCCTGCGCTCCGACAGAAACATAAACACCCCGTCACCATAAAAGCCCTCCATAAAGCTTTTAACACTTGGTTTCCCAGCTTATTAACTAAGTCTGTGACAGAGGAAGAAGTACTCTGAGCAACAAAAAAAGTGGTCAATTTTGTGGGTATAGTGAGCAAATATGTACCAGTGCTGTGTGCGTTTGCATCAGAGGAGAAACAAGTGGAGGAGGAGATGAAGATAACAGAGAGGAGCGTGTTTGTTACAGCAGTCAGTTCGGTTTACGGGGAAATAATGAAGACTGTCGATTTCATAAGAGCTGTGTGACTCACTGTTTTCTATCGTTTACACACACACACACAC